TCAGACACTTCACACACTCGTTCTTACTGTCCTCTTGTTACTTTACAAAACTCCTGTAAAAATACTACAAACATCGTCATTTAAAACTCATTTAAATATTAAAATATAAAAATACTTTTACTTCAATAACACCAATATACTTTCAAAAACTACGACTACTTCCCGACAGTACTGAAGTACTTTCATAAAATAACTTTAGCATGCTAAGCTAACCTGCACGCCATCGGTTCCGTCCTTCATCTTTTCAGCCAATCGGCAGCCAGGCAGCGCGTCCGCTCGGCTGTGGGAGGAGTCTGAGCTCACATTGGCCCCTCGCCCTTTTTCCCATGATGCTTTGTGGTTGAGCAGAGCGTCGCGCAGCTCACTGACCAGACGGTTGTTGTAGCTCAGGAGATGCTCCAACCTGTCAATCATCTGGTGGAGGCGGGACAAATCCTACAAGGAAGATGATTGGTTTAAAAACATGTTCTCAGTCTGTAGATGTTCGTGTTAAAGTGACGCTTTATTTTGAAAATCCACGTGCTGTATTTAGTGACTCACGCTGTCCACCAGTCCATCAGGCGTCTCCCCTGTGTTCTGAAGCTCCGCCCCCTGCATCAGCTCCAGCATGCGGTACAGTGACATCACCGCCAAGCAGAAGACTCCGCCCACCAGCACGGCCAGCACCCGACTCCTCTTCATCACTGGGACGACTAAGAAACAAACAAAAGGCAACGTGCTGTCGGTCAAACACCTGCACACATTCACAGAGCGGTCCAATCAGGACACACGTGCGAACAGAACGCTGCAGCTGAAGGACGCACGCCACCACGAGGCCACTATGCAGACGCTTCACCCCGACACGCCGCCGTCATGTGAAGAAAAAAGCACGAGGTCTGTTTTCCTCAACAAAACAAACATCTTGATAGAAAAATTAAGTGCTCGCGACTCACATGAATAAACATTCACTGAACATTTCTCATATTGTTATTAAGGAAAATTACGTTGTGATCACGTATATTGTGTATATTATTTATTCTATTTGTTGTTGGGAATAAAGTGTTGCTGCTGATATTTATCTGTGCTCACAGTTAGACGTAATGAACGCCTTTACGTGGCGTAAGTGACGCCACCAGATGCACTTCCCAAACATCTGCATGGAAAATAAACCGAGCTTGTAGAACGCCGCTGAATATTAACAGGGTTTCCCTTTAGTCACAGAGACTACGACGGCCCGCCACGCTCTCCTTTCTGCTACCACGGTGTCAAATAACAACTTTAAAGACCTCTAACGGTGTCAGCTCGCACGCTTTAACGTCCGACTCGAGACGACCGCTTTTCCTTTGAGGACACGAGCTGGTTTGAGGTCAGTTTGAGGGTCTGAGCAGCTCTGAGCGCTCCTGTCACTCTGCTGCAGCTGAATCGGGAGTGCACACGTATCAGAGCCTTTACGGTAAGGTCACAGAGCAGCCGACAGGCAGGTTAGAGACTTCATTCGGTTTCTCTCTACAAAGCCAAGAAGACGTGAAGAGGCGCCACACACGAGGCTGCACATGTGACAAGGTCCGGTTTTCAAAATAAAGTGAGTCTGAGTTAATCAGATATGACCACGTCTCACTTGGACGTTCACTTTCTCTCAGCGGCCCGTCCCGTTTCATTTCCTGCTATTGCTCACGTCTTTCCTGTCGTGTGGTTTTGTTCTTTAAATGAAAAGTTCCTGCAGGAATCTGGAAGTTAAACCATGAACTTTGCCTCCTCTGCTGAAACCAAGGGCGTCGCTGGGCTCAGATCAGGGCGCGAGAGACATCGCGATACCTGAAATTTGGTTCACGGGAACGAGACGAAAAGATCCTTAAACAGATTTCCTCAATGCTGAGATAGATGAGTGGGGGGGGGGGTTAGATAATAACACTTTCTGCAGAAGTCTGACAGAATCTCAGTCAGTGCTGCTCTCAGGTCTGTTCCTCCTGTAACATCGTCCCTGCTGGTCGCGTTCACAGGGAGAGAACGGAAACTGAGACAAGAAGGTGTTAAAGTTTCTGATGTCTTTGGGTCATTTTATAATCAGCAGCTTGTTTTTTTCAGCTTAAGTTACTTTTTTTGGACGATGCACATTTGTTTCCTCTATATTTTACTTGCATGTTTTCTGAATGTGTAAATAACAGAGCTGTATTTCAGAACATTTCTTAACAAATTATGTTGTCAAAAAGTGGTGGGGACATGTCCCCGGCGTCCCTGGCGTCCCCAGTCTAATGACTCCTATGGTTGAAGCTTAGCTTTCTAACATCTCTGAGCTCCAGTGGAACGGTGTTTGATGCAGCTGAGCTCCTCATTGGTTTTGACTGCCAGCTTCAATCTTATCCAACTTTCTCAACAACCCGTCTGAACCCGTGTCTGAGTTCCCTTTATTCAACCGTTTAAAACCTGATGAAAGCTGCCGCAGCCAGCAGGATCTTATATATTTAAAACCTTTGAGTTACCTGTGCCAGCATGACCTGACCCCTGACCCCTGACCCCTCCTGATGTTTGACTGCATCAGTCAGGGGACCAGACTCTGACCCCGGCTGAACCAGAGGCCGACATGTTGAGCAGCTCTCTGGGTAAAAGGCTCTACATCATGCAGAAAAACACCTTCTAACGCATTTAAATCCACATTTAAACCCTCTGCAGTGACGCCGCTGCGTCTCCAGCGAAGCTACAAAGACTAAATTATTTTGTAAAATCATATGTGCCAGAGGAAGTGTTTAGCGGCCCTGCAGCTCCGACGGACGTGAAGAGAAAATTAACACAACTTTAGAAAAGTTAATGAAAGCGTCCTTACCGACTTCCGCGTTGGTCAAACAGCCGCAGGTCTCGCGCTCCGGTGCGTCTCGCGCTGTTCGTCACCTGCTCGGTGACGCAGCTGTCTGACTTCAGCTTCCCGGGAAAACTGAATAAAAACGAATCAGTTTAATTAAAGACGAATAAAGTTCGCTGTTCACTCCGCAGCGCGAGCTCAGGCTGCTGCTTCGCGCCTGCGCCCTGCGTTTGTTTTGCTTCCGGCTTTGTTCAGCTGACTCAGCGCTGCGAAGACGTCGCTTCCGGTTAGATCAGCAGCAGTTTCCGTTCTTTAAAATCCCAGCAGGAGCAGCTGCAGAGAGAAGGAGTCGAGGAAACCAACGAGGGAACGAGCATTGAACACTTTCCTTAAACCTGCTGCCCAGCTGCTCATTTAAACATTTCCATCTGTGCAGTAAAGTCACAGCAAATATCCTGGGACAAAACAGAAAAAACCTGCAGTAATAAACTTGAGGAGGAAACAGAATGAAACTTTCAGCTTCTATAATCACGTTTAGACTGTGATGGAGCTCAGAACTGATCAGGAGGACGGCTGCTTTACTCCAAACAGGTTCACTGGATGAACATGGACTGTGTGTGAGAGCTTCAGGATGTGCAGAAGAACCCAGAACATGAATAAACACCAGATCCTGATCAATCCTGTCGGCATGTCGGGAGATTTATTAATAATTAGGTTGCTGTGGCTCGGGCGTAAATGCGAACAGTCCTGGTCCTGGTCCAGCTGCAGGTCACAGGAGAGGGGTTTCAAGATGGCGGAGTGAGTGGCAACATTTCGGCAGGCTCCAATTAAAATTCCTTAATTAGGGCCCGAGCACGACCGTGCGAGGTCCCTATTGAATCTGCTCGGATTATATTTAGGGCCCGAGCACGACCGTGTGAGGTCCCTATTGAATTTGCTCGGATTATATTTAGGGCCCGAGCACGACCGTGTGAGGTCCCTATTGAATTTGCTCGGATTATATTTAGGGCCCGAGCACGACCGTGTGAGGTCCCTATTGAATCTGCTCG